CTGTACGAAGATTGCTTTTTAGACAAAAATAATAAATATTCTTCGGAAGATGAAACCAAACAAAAATAACAACAACACAAACAACAGTCAGACTGCAAAACAACCGACTTAGAAATATAAGAAAATAACTTTTTTTAAAGTTCAACTTTTTAATAACTTGGGTGGTGTTGCGAGTGTCCAGGAGTGGCGCTGATCGCTTACCACTTGGCCCTTACGTGTGCCATCCTATTCATATAAAAAAACAAAAGATTCCTTTTGAGAATTTTGGAGAATAACTAATGTGATCTCATCTTCTATTGGCGAAGTTTAGATCATGCTAAATCAAATCAAACTAACACATTTCTGTCCGACGCCATTTTTAGTGTATTACAAGAAATATGTTAACAATTTGTGTAATTGTTGATTCCTCGATTGTCGTTCGATGCGAACAGACGTATTTATAACTTACTATTGAATTAATGCAACAGTGACCTACTAAATTACTTTTGCTGATACTGTAACTTAGTATTTTACAATGAAAACATAATCCAATCATAGTAGTTTGAAAATGGATAAAATACCGAATAATCTGGCTTCCTGTGCCTCACCAATAGGGAGCAGCCGTAAATCTGGCTTCTCTATAGAAGCGGTGTCCACGCCCGACATTCAGAACTGGATGGCAAGCATTGAGAAGCAGTTGAACGAAGTATGTATTATTGCCACAGAGGGCAAACTCAATTCGGAGCAAAAACTCAAAATTTCTAACTTGAGCCGAAAAATTGGTGCTGATGTGTCGCAAATGGCTGTCCTCTACCAAGCTTTAAAGCAGCAAGCCCGCTTAGCCGTCAACATTATGGATGAATTGAGGGAAAAACAAGATCTATCAGACCAAATGTTGGAGATCAAAAACACTCTCAAGAACTCAAATACAACAAAAAACGAGTCTTTCGCTGATATGGTGAAGAAAGGTAAAAGTTTCGTGCGACCTAACAACTTGTGCTCTGTTGCTATTTATCCAATAAATAAACAGAAGTCTAGTGATGAAACTAAATCGATTGTGCAAAAAATTATAAGTCCTGAAGAATTGAAGCTACATGTGCGCGGAGTCCGTCGAACTCAAAATGGAGGTGTTATAATTAGCACAGAAACCAAAGAAGATGCCGTCAAAGTCAAGGATGCAGTAGGCATATCGTTGTCTGGACTCTTTGCTGATGAACCCAAAAAGCGCCAACCACGACTCACAATTATAGGAGTGCCGACGTCCATGAACGATGCTGACGTAATTAAATGCATATACGAGCAGAACATAACTGACAAGTTCCCAGATATGTCATTAGAGTCCTTTTTAACGGCTGTTAAAATAAGTCACAAATCTGGAAAAAAGGATGCATCGACCTGTAACTTCATAGTAGAGTTTCCAGCAAAGATACGTAAAGCCCTTATATCCCAAGAAAGGCTTTACATAAACTGGACTTCTTGCCCTGTCAGAGATTTTACGCTCGTCACCAGATGCTACAAATGTCAGCAATATGGTCACGCAGCAAAAACGTGCCGGGAGCTCTCCCCATCGTGTGGCCACTGTGGAGAAGTGGGACATTTAACATCTGCGTGTACTAAGAAAGTGGAGTCCCTTAAATGCGCAACTTGTTCTCGGTTTAACAAACCCAGCCAGCATAAAACTGGAGACGTTGAGTGTCCCGCCAGGAAGATAGCGGAATATCGGTACATCAACTCAATCGACTATGAGGGCGCATAAAAACGCATCACACTCTAGGTCTTTCCGAGTTGGTTAACCTTTGCCCTGAACAACAGTTACACAACATAACAGCCTTATTGCTACCTAAGCAATTAATTTCATATTATTGTAATTAGAAAATGACCGAATGTATTGTAACCTAGTTTATATTCCTGCTGATGTTTGCAATTCCTCGGTCGTAGTGATATGTTGTAATTCTGAATAAATGTTAATGTTAGGTATATACTATAATGTTGCAATATTTTTGCCTATCCCTTCGGGGATTTATTGTTATGTAAGTAGGTATATTTTATGTATAACAAATAATTAAAAATGCACCTCTGCCTATCTCTTATGAGAATATAGAGTATGAGGTTTTATTTTGTATGTATGTATGTTTATTAAAATAATAATATTGTTTACTGTTGCATAATGATAAGTATGTAGTTACGTTTTTAGAAATAAGATGTCTTCCTACAAAAGTAATGTATAGAGCTCCTTTCGCCTGCGATACAGGATTGTCCTAGTGCAGGCATCTAACTTTATGAGATCAATTTTACTTACTTGAAACATATTTTGTATTTTGCATTTTTGAATTATGAATAAAATTTTATTTATTTATTTATTTATTTATTTATTTAATTATTACTTGTTCTCTATTGAAATAAAAATACTGCGTGGTGTCGATATCGATTTACCGTGGCCATGGGACGTGTTCCGGTCTACCTGCTAATGTTAGATATGTTTTGTAAACATTAGTGTAAGAAAGTATTCGGTACGGATAGGCAGGTACAATAACAATGGCTGAACACACAGATAGTGAATAAGTTACTTACTACATTGACTTATTATCATTATATCCCAAAGAATTAAGTTCTTACTAAAACACAAAAAAATATAACAATCTTGGTGCCACAGGAAATTGCAGTTTAAGCCGTTGAGATAAAGTTTAAATTAATTGCGCATGTTTGTATGTAATATTTGTAGCGATAAAGAGAAAGCCATGTGTTATCAGATAATTAGAATTATGTAATGTGTTATGTATGTGCAGCTCTGGGCCGGTTTGAAGGGTATAGGTGATATCTAGTTTATTATCTTACAATGACCCACATTGTAGGCTCGTCAGTGAAATTATTCTATGAATATTTTAGCCAATTTGTATTTTTGTACCTAGACATTTCTCGGTGATCCCACTTCCAACTCAGTTCAATACAAGAACACCTGAAGTGATATACATAACATCATGCCTTTTATCCTCGAAGGGGCAGGCAGAGGTGCACATTATGCCGCTGTACAATGTAACACCCACTTTTCACTATTTATCTTATGAGTCCAATGTAATAGGGGGTGAGTCTATTGCCATATACCGGGCACAATTCCAGACTCCGTGCTACTGCTGAGATTTTTTTTTAAAAACTCAGTAATCTTTGGCCGACCCGGGAATCGAACCCGAGACCCCTTGCCCGGCAGTCGCATTTGCGACCACGGCCAGTGAGGCAGTCAACCTGAAGTGATATTTTTGATCATATACTTATGTGGAAAGATTACTGTTTAAAAGGTTCAGAGAGCGCTGCCAGGTCCATGTCATCATACAGATCGTTTCGTCGCCTCTATTATCATTTTGACTACACCGTTGACGCGGTGGCTGGGCAACCGGCTGCCGCGCAACGTGTGGCGGGTTCGATTCCCTCACTAAGCAACGTTTTGTGTGATCCACAAATTGTTGTTCTGGGTTCCGGGGTAAATGTACCTACGATACAGGAAAAAATTTAGTGTGAGGTAAAGAAGTTTGAGCCACTGTTTCTATCGAAAACACCGTGTAAGACCTAACAAATTATCTTAGGTCGAAGATTGTATGCGGATATTTATGCCCTGTGCTTGTTTGCAACCTAATCTATTACTTTAGTTTATCTTTTGATGTAGTATAAGACTCGGTTTATCTGCTTCATGATGATAAGACCTGTAGATAATACTTGTAAGATTTGATAAACATCCTATTACTAAACAGTGATTATCTTGGATCTCACTTATCATTCTGGTCGACCTGTGACGATTTTGATACATAGGTACCATAAGATAACGACAGTACAGAGATTCGTGAATTTTCTATCAAAGAAATACCAATTACCAACCAATGAGGTTTTATTGAACTCCACAGTTCTTTGCTAATCATAAAATCGAGAACTTGAATACTATAGTCAATTCAAAGATAAGATTCGAGGTCTCTCCTTACATGGTAGTCTACCAGTCCTGCATAATATGATTAAACAAAGTAGACCAACCAAATATTAGAAGGAAAACTAGACACATGAAATTATTTAAAAGCAAAGCTACTGTGTAAGGCATTCAACTTCTGCCAATGAATAAATCTCTCGCCTTCAATTGTGTCCAACCGCCACTCAATTGAGTGTTGCCCACTTAAGTCAATTTAGTTTAAATGGAATATGTTACTGCGACGGTTTCTGCACCGTTTGGCTTTCTCATAATATTATGCAACTTCATGTATGAAATGAAATCTTCGATTGAATAATTAAGTCCAATATGCACTGTAAATTGTTGGGTTTATAGATTTCGTCACACTTTTTTGGTTCTATAAATCAACTACGTGTTGTAGGCACCTTCTGCCGGTTACATTTGTTAAATAAAAAGCTTGAATATTTTAACTTGACTTTTATTGTTCTTCTTTACTTTTATAAACTTTTATTTAATACGTACACCGTTCACACTCGCAGCCATTATTCAAGAGAGAGAAAAGTTTTTTTTTTTTTCATAGACCAGCGCTTTGTCATAGATTGCATGAAAAATTGCCAACAATCATAATGTGTACAATTTAACACTGGAGCCACTAGATCGCACCACATATGCTTAAGAAACATCTATCAAGATTATAATTATTTACTATTCTCAATAACATTATTACGATTTTAGGAAACATGGTGTACCTAATTTCTAAAGTATGAAAGAGAGGCTCCACCGACCAGCCCACTGGTTAGGTGATCATTTTCGGAGGCTCAATTATGACTCCCAATTTTCCCAATTCCCGAATCCCCAACAATCCTCAGATTCCTAATCTCCTAAAGGCCGGCAAGGCACTTGTAATGCCTCAGGTATTTCGAGTGTCCATAGGCGACGCTGATTGTTTACCATCAGGTGATCCGTGCGCTCGTTTACCGAAGTACCCCATAAAAAATCATGCCTGGGCTACTGTCCATCAAAATTATAAGGCAGTTACATGTCTAATTCTGTAAAAGAAATGTTACTTACATATTTGTATGGTTTGTTTCAGGTTTTTCAACGCGAAATCAGTGAAGATCATCGAGGAGAGCGTGCTAGATCCAGAGAAGAAAATATTTGTGACCTACACAAGGAACCTAGGATACACGAAAGTTATGGTAAGATTTTTATTTATTATATGCGCATAGCACAGGAATAGGGGTAATGTCAATTTTTCTGTCAGTCTGATCGATTAATTTAATTCTAGGTCTTTTAATTCTTCAGGTCTAGGTCAGAAATTTAACTTATATTTTTACATATTTCCTATTGTATTTATCGCAGAGTGTGGTGGAACGCGTGGAGTACCGCTCGGCAGGTCCGGGACTGACCGTGGCGCGTCGCTCCGCATGGATAGATTCACAAGTGTTCGGCTTTTCACGAGCCATCCGCGCCTTCGGAGTCGACAGGTTCAAGAAGAATTGCAATCAAATGGTACGTACCTCTAGAAAAATCTCTTTACTCTCAGGACATTCACAACAAAGTTGAGTACATCTTTTCACAAAAATGAAGATTTGTAGTTCTTTCTGTATTCGAACACCAGAGGACTTTGCTACATCTAATTTTGATAAGTTTTATTATTACAAACATGATGAATAACGGTCCTCTTCCCCGTACTCTAGGTAAGCGGCTTCAACCACGTCCTGCATAGTATGTTCCCGCGTCAGGTTCCCTCGCAGCACAGTATGACGCACACGCTGAAGGAGATGCGCGAGGCCGCCGCCGCCGCCACCGACCGCGCCAAGGCCAACGTACTGTCCACTGTCAACAGGACATAACACGACGCTGACTGACCTAGGAGCTAAGGACTAAGTGAAACCACTCTTACAACATAACCAAGCCAAACACTAGTGAAAAAATGGAGTGACCAGAATGTGCTTCTACATAGATGAGTTATCTTGGCTAGCATTCCGGTTCAGCGTTAGTGAAATTACCGGACAAAAGTTTTGGTCACAAATTTTTTGGTAGTGAACATTGAACACTCCATGTTTCAATCGTCTGTGGCAGTGTCGCCTTATTGGGAAGTACAACAGAAGAGTAACGCAAGTGAAGGACTGCTTTTAGAGGTTTATTGTATTTACAGAGTATAGAAATTGTGTTTTATTGTGAAGAGGTCTATCGAAAGCATGTAGCACTAGCTTGTTGACAATAAGACTTTTAATGAGCTCTCTTTTCACTGGTATTTGTTGTTTTGTAATCTCTGGCTATAGAAGTATGTAGAACAAAAGTGCTGTCCGAGAAGTCGTCCGTCGTTGCTGCCCAGTTTAAATTGAGCTCATTACTTTAATGTTTATAGTGAACCTGTATTTCTTTTATTTTCACTGCCATTTTCGTCTTTTGCACACGACGCTACTTGTACCTTCGCCACATTCCAGCCGTGTGGTTCAATATGTATATTATGTATGAATAAGCTTTGCATAGAGAGAATGGAGCACCGACAAGGCTAGAACGAATCGAAAATCATTTTACTACACTACACGCATACATAGATGTAAAGTTTAAACGTATTGATTAAATAGCGATTAATTAAATCACCGGTTTGATTAAATACTAGTTTATTTTGTTTAAGCTAGGAATGTGTATGACAACGAAAGAGTGACGTCACTACTATGCAATATGGCGGTTTGACGTTTTGAGAATGAAGTATTGAATTGGTTGTCATCATCCCTTAAATGTAGATCATTTGTTAATTCTCTATATTATGGATAATATGGATTTTAGTAAAGTTGGTAGTCAGCTTTTCTCTCTACGCTGTATTTTGATTGACTTTATTTGGATTGTATATAAGGTTAGCGATTTTGCGAGCTGCTCTATTGATGTGTCCGAAATGGCTGGCCATTTCTATGCATTAGACTAGAGTTTAAATTATTATTATTTATTACAACAATCCCGGATTATAAAGGCATATTTTTCGTTCAAAATTCACATCACGATGACACAAATCATTTGAAGTTTTCGATACCTTATCATGACTGCGATAAAATTAAGGCGTGCTCACATATTTCTTTGACGTTACAATATTTATTTGGCCTATTTTCAGTAACCTATATTGATGAAATTGTGTTAAACAATAGGTGAACATACTCCAACCTGTTACATTTCTTCGATGAATTTGGAACTTATGTGTTTGTAATAAAGGTGAAATTTTTTGACAGGTGTAAGTTAATATGCAAGTCTGTATTCAATTGTTTTAAAATGTTCGTACGATAATGGATTGTTTGCGATTCACCACAATACGTATTAGGGTTTATTGTAAAACTTTGAAAGTTCAAATTACATTGGCAGAGTTAAATGATTATTTTTGAAATGTTTTAAGGTGCGGCTTCGATTGATTTTGTTAAATAATAAATTTGATCGAAGTGTTTGTAAGATTCGAAATGTCACCGATGTTATTTGACAGTATTATGTATAGTTTGGGAATGTAAGCTAGGATTTCAAGGTATTGAATATTTTTGAAATTTAGTGGATTGTTGTTGATTACAGCTCCATCTCGCTAACCATAAAATAAATGGTTTGTAAATTTTATTTATTATTGTATTTATTTAAATTCAAAATTAATTTATACTTTTCCCCTTCGCTTCTGCTTTCTAAGTAATAAGCAGAACTTTTCTATATCGTGGGATAGCGATTACTATTTTGCGTAACATACAAATTGATATTATAACAATGTTAATATCTTAAAAATCTATTAATAACAATACTTAATTGTTCCAAATGTTTTATTTACTTTATTTACATAGGAATAAAGTTTAAATTACAATAAAAATAAGTATTTTTAATATTCTCTTTAAAAATCTAGCACATTTGAAATAGGATAATTAAAATAAAAATCTATTATATTAAAATAAAAAATCTAATGAGAACCTTGGTATAAAATTATAATTATGAAAATATAAGAAGGATGATATAATATCAATGTTTGTTTATAGAGAGTATATTTTTATTATACTAATAAAAAAAATTGGTCTAGTCTCTTTCGGAAATCATAGTCTATGACTCTATGTGCTATCTATTGCATTTAGGTGTATAGAAAATTATTGATAATTTTATTATGACTATTACTAGTGCCACTTTACATTAGCGTACGTCCCGCATAAACTATGAAAAAATAATTGTGAATATTATGTTAATTTAAAATATAGTTGAGTGCACTACATGTCTTCCCTTGTTAAAATAAATGAAAATTGTCTATGGATTTTGTTTTTACAAATGGTGGTCTTAAATGTGAAGTTTTTTAGCAAAATAATGTAAAGTGGCCTTTAAACAAGAGATGTTAAAGTTAACTTGATAATTAAAAGTAACTTAGGACATTACTAAACACATGTTATCGTTAATACAAAGTTTGGAAATTCGAGCAGATCCATAGTATAAAATTAGTATTAGTTACATTAATCAGGTTTAAGAAGATAATAAATGAGTCTATTTCATATTCTGTTTTTTATTTCAAGTAATTGAGGTTTTGGTGTGGTATTATAAATAAAAAAAAATACTTAAAAAAAATGTATTTACAATCTACTTCACTAATCTATACATTTTAATGAAAGCCTGTCAAAGACTTGATACTAAAATATTATTTGACTTTGATAGCAGCACGGAGCCTAGCACTACGGCTCCTAGGATTCCTTTCCACTTCCTCATCACTTGGTACCTCTACATGCTTGTTAACAGCTTTCCAAGGAGAATTCAAAAACTGGTCTATGATATCCTGATTCTGCACTATGCTAGGATTCAAATACTTTAATGGAACTGGGTTTGCCATCTCGTTAATTATATTTCCTGCTATATGCCGCTTAACTATGGTATCTTCTAACGAATGAAAGCATATTGTCACCAATTTCCCATTGATTTTCAAGTAATATTTAGCTAGCAACATTCCGTAATTCATTTCGTTAAGTTCATTATTCACAAATATACGTAAAGCTTGGAACACTTTTGTAGCATTGGACTGCGGCCTCTGTAGTTTGTCCAACCTTTTTTCTTCTGGACAGCAAGAGTTGACAAGCTCTACTAATTCTTCAGTGGTCTCAATATTTTTGATCATGTACCTAGCTTGTATAATAGTCTGAGCTATTTTTGCTGCTTGTTTTTCTTCTCCATATATTTTGAATATTTTGTACAGTTCATGCTCATTTGCAGTTGCTAAGACTTCTCTTGCTGTTATTTGATTTGGATCTCTGCCAGCATCCATTCTCATGTCTAAGTAACCATTTTTGCTGATAGAAAACCCTCTCTCGCCTACATCTAATTGCATTGATGAACATCCAAAATCAAAGAGCATACCATCTATAGAAGACTGCTTTATATCTTTGGCTTTTAAAAGAGCTGGGAGCTCACTGAATCTTCCTAATAATGGTATCACTCTATTTGGATATTCTTCAGCTAGTTTTTGAGCTTTTTCATATGCTACAGGGTCTCTGTCTAGTGTTATAAGCCTACAGTCAGCAGCTTCAAGAATTTTCCTTGAGTGTCCACCAGCTCCAAATGTCATATCAATAATAAGGTCATTGTTTTGTGGATTTAGGTGTTTTATGGACTCATTTAACATTACTGGTGTATGGTCTCTGTATTGGACTTGTTCTGTGGACAGTGTACGGGCAACAACTGCCCTGTTCAGGCGCTGAAAGTGTCTTAGAATCATCATTTGTCTCTACCAAATATTTTGCTGAAGAATCCTTTATTTTCTTCTTTCAAATATTCGAGAACTTCGTTTGATAGGATTACGTTGCACTCTTCAGTGCTCAGACCTGTAGCTGTGCTATTGTGCGTTCGTTTGTATTTATTTCTGTAATGGTTTTCGGCTATTTTGTTCAAGGAGTTGTACTGACTTTTACAGAGCTCCGAATTTAAGTTCTGTCTCTCTGATGACTCAAATGCAGCTTTTACTTTATCCCTGATGAATTTTCCGAGGTCTCTGAAATGTAATTTTTGGTAAATAAGTAAGAAAGGACGAGTATAAATTATTATTACGCATAACCTCACTTATTATTGTTACCTTTCGCCTTTAGTTGGGTCGACGGGCCATTTAGCTATAAGTCTAGTGAATTTCTTATATTGAGAAGTCATCGCAACTTATTCAGCATATTTTAACTTAGCGCAATACTATTTTTTATTAATTAGACATCGAAATCTAATTTTATAGCTCCTATGGATCATATGAAACCACTGACATTCATTGACTTTAAATTTGACATACGGTGTCACGTGTCAGTACTGTCAGTTGTTAATTGAAATGTCAGTGCCATATAGGAAAATGCGTTTGGAATCGTGTGTCGTCATGTTGATTCTGAACGCAATTAAATTTTTATTTTCATTAATTTTTATGGAACGTCAAGTTAGTTTACTGAGTTTTTACATAGGTATAGCAATTTTTTTTATAATTATTTTTTATAGTACCCAAATGCAATGGAAATTATTATGAATGCTTAATTTCTGTTTTAGGTGGTGATTAGTATCCTGAAGCAGCGGACGATCTAGCGGAATATCACGATTCCAGCTTGAAGCAGGAGTAGGGACGAGGTGGTATTTAGTCAGTAAGAGTCTGACACTCCTTCTCGCTCTCTAACCCGTGGCGGGAGAAGTTATTGGATAATCCTCCCCTCAGGTACAAAAATATGGTGATTATTTCTAAATGTAACTTACTTCGTCGGTACAAAATCAGATTACCTAATAGGTAGGTAATAATAATAATTATTATTATTACCTAGGTACTTTCACACCTGTGCGTTAAAAGTCCCTATAATGCACAGGTGTGTGAAAATATCCAATAATCATTAGAGAAATAGACACCACTTCTGGTTTAAGTTTATATTCGGTTAGAATCGAGTGTTAGGCTGTTAGGAAGTGTCACGTAGTAATAATACTAGTGGTTATCGGCGGTTGGCACATGATTGGAATGCCATCTGCGGCGTATGGTTCATTATTAGTCTACTCGAAAGGTAGAGAATTGGAAGGCCAGTCCAGAGGCATACTATGTAGTGTATATATTATAACTGTTGTAGATATTATATAGTGTGTGCTATGTATGAGTAATTATTCCACACAATAATATACATACCGACCTAAAATTTACTAGGTTTCCCACAATTAAAAAAAAATTATAAATTCGGTACATAAAGACTGCAAGTTCTCATCATTTCATTATTGGAAACTGTACCAATGCAATGGTAAACAGCAACCTATATAACTATGCAGTCAGATAAATTAAAATAAAAGTAAAACACTAGCTATGATGAAATACACAATAGCTTCTTAACCAAAATAGATTCAAATTAACAGATTATACGAAAACAAAGGAATTCTCTAACACACATTCTCAATTTACGCCTTCCTCATACTTCATAGAAAACAATAAAGATTAAACCATAGCTTTACGAAAATATAATAGGAATTAGAATTAATAGGTCATAACTCACGAGAGCTTTTAATAGCCGTTGATTCGTTTTATTTTCGAATTTGAAAATGCAACACTTCGGTATGGGTTACGTATTCGGTCGTGCGGCCAGAAATAGATGATCCTACTTAAGTAAAAAAAAACAATGTTCTTTTGGGGTTTTCGTAAAGTAATGGTGTGTTTTGATTTCGAATTGTGTCTTTTATACCTACTTTGTATTCATGGGTAACAATGAGCTAAAGTTGTTGCATAAAATAATGTTCTTTATAAAGCTACTGCTAGCAGGTCGAATTCAATTAACAGTTCTGAAAGATATCGAGAAAAAGTTACCTAAACGTGTTGAAGTTTTGTTTGATTTCCTTGTGGATATTGTGACCATGATTGACTATACAATTTTATCGCGTTAGCATCTTTAGGTTTTACTTATATCATCATATTAGCCATAGGACATCGACTGCTGAACATAGGCCTCCCCTAAATATAGGTCTGACCACCTTGCGAGACGTCTTACGCTGCGCTTACCGGTACGTGGCCTTTACTTGATAACCTTTCTCATCAGATTTTATTTATCAATCAAATAATACCAACTCTAAGCTACCATCTAATATATAAAATTCTCGTGTCACAGTTTTCGTTGCCATATTCCTCCGAAACGGCTTGACCGATTCTGATGAATTTTTTTGTGCTTATCCGGTATCTATGAGAATCGGCCGATATCTATTTTTCATCCCCTTCAATGTTAGGGGTAGTCCGCACCTACATTTTTTTCGTCATGACGCGTGCGAAGTCGCGGGCAGAAGCTAGTCTTTCTACATTAAAACTCATCAACATCAGCTAATCAATTGAGGTAATAAACCAAATCAGACAAAGTCACTGTCATACTAACAATAGCTAGAACCATGCCCTAAAACCTCATAACAACGTGGCTCATTGAAGAAAATACCAACCATTTTCTCTTACTACATACCTATTTACCTAAGTATATGACTCCTATACTAAATTACTCGAACTTGAGCCAACGCATTAAGGCAACGTTCCCAGTAACATGACATTTGTTACATTTCCTGAAGTATATACGACTACATATCAAGCTATACAGAACCACTGTAAACTGACCGTCGTATGTGCGGAAAGATCATACAAAGTCGGACCATGATATATTGGTTTCGTTTATCTCCATGTGTAGTGTGTATGTACATGTAATTCTTCACACAACTGTTTACTTCTAAAATGTTGTGAGGTCTTAAGGAAAAGTACGATGTACGCTAATGTCTTAACATGTAGAACAAAACTTAGTATTTTGAGTCGAACACTTACGAAGTGCTTTGGTTTTGAACTGTGAAATGACTTCATTGGCTTTTAGAGGATTTGTCAAATGTTGATGGAGTTTTATTTAAGTTCTGATGTAACATAGAATCTAGCCTGATGCGACAGAGTAGTATACATAACATAACATAACATCAAGCCTTTTATCCCCGAATGGGTACGCAGAGGTGTAGGTACATTACGGCACTTAATGCCACTGTACAATGTAACACTCACTTTTCACTATTTATTTTATGAGTCCTTTGTAATAGGGGGTGAGCCTATTGCCATATACCGGGCACAATTCCAGACTCCGTGCTACGACTGAGATTTTTTGAAAAAGCCCAGTAATACTTTGCCCGACCCGGGAATCGAACCCAAGACCCCTTGGCCGGCAGTCGCAATTGGCAACCACTCGGCCAACGAGGCAACGAGGCCAACGACAGAGTAGTATACATATATAAAATACACTTGTCACCAAGTCTAGTCGTCATGGTATAGCAAATGACCGAGACTGGGCAGCAGTGGTTTCCCATCAACGTGATACCTATTAATTGCGATCTTCAACTCGATGATGTCTTTTTACTATAATACGAATACCTACGACACATCATTTAACAATCAAATAATGTCTGTTTCGTAAACGCTTATAATTGGCTAGTTTACTAAGTTTAAAATAAATTGTTTCAACTCTTCAATGCAATAAATAATTAAAAAATAATCATACTCTCATCCGTTGATTTGACAATTTACCTACTTTTGGATTTTTTCTCGCTAATTATAAGGAAACAAGTATGCTAGTTGACGTCGAAATATGATGACGTTAGTTGCGATCCAATACAAAATTCATAGAATAGTATCGTTTTTGTCGTGTTGGAGACTCGGTTGCCAAAGGAAGAAAAAAAAAAGTATCGTTTTTGACATTTCAATAAAAGTATTGAATTTGATTACCTATCAACTACCGTATTAAGTAAATTATTTTATTGTACTTTAAACTCATCAATAACAATAGCAGACGTGGGTAGTTCTAATTTATACCTACCTGCACTTTAACTCGTCGAATACCGGTTTTGTAGACACAATTATAGAACAATAGGTTGCGGTTACCGGTGACCGCTTGGTGTTTGACAGTTTAACTCGTCGAGTACCGGTTTTGTAGACACAATTATAGAACAATAGGTTGCGGTCACCGGTGACCGCTTGGTGTTTGACAGTTTAAGACACTAACACCCACTCAGTATTTATCTCAGTCGTATCGAGACTGTGGACGCAGCAACATAGCATTAAACTGTCAAACACCAAGCGGTCACCGGTGACCGCAACCTATTGTTCTATAATTGTGTCTACAAAACCGGTACTCGACGAGTTAAAATATTAATTGTAATTTTAGTTATTTCGATATTAAACTGTCAAACACCAAGCGGTCGCCGGTGACCGCACCCTATTGTTCTATAATTGTGTCTATAATGACGGTAGGTACTCGACAAGTTAAGGTAAGAAGTGCGTGGGCGAACATTTCAGTCGTACTTAATCATTAAACAAACACAGTGTGTAGGTAGATATTTTTTAAGCTCTGTTATGTAGCTAAAATAAGATAAGTTCTTAAAGTATTTGTTACTGAAAATTACTAAGTTGAAAACTCAGCCAATATAATTGTACTAAACTAAAAAAAACTTAAGCGTAGCTTCATTTGCAACGAGACATTGACAAACTTAAAGAATCTTTCATTTGTATTGCTTTACTTTCTTCGCTAAACTAAACAAAACAAAATGCACAAACACACAAACTTATTTCGTTCAAAAAACAATCGTAAAACTATCAAAATACGGTATAATTTCACTTCTGCCTGCGTAAGTTCATCTTGGGCTGAACTCAATATCTTATTGCACATGTGAATACGAGGCTTCGTCTAAAAATCAACATTTTTTCACGACGACTTGCTCTCTTGTACTGTAAAAAAATTACTACAAGACTGTATTTATGTATTTCAAGTTCATTATTGGTTTCCTTAGAGATTTTAAGGTGGTTGGTTGTAAGAAAGCGGCAGTGTATACCGTACATTTGCAGACGTTTTGATAAGTTTTGTCTCCGGTACAAGGTAACGCTGAACGTTACAAAGTGCGAGCCTTTTGTCTAGATTAGGTGTGGGTTCCACTGCTGCGTTTTGTCGACGGAAAAGTTTATTAACTAACATTAATTTTAATTTACATTTAGAAAGTTTTTATAGGTATGAATTGTACGTGCTTTACGTTTCAGTATTTTCCGTAAAGTTTATGTAACTTGTTTTTTATATTTTAGTTCAATAATTGTCTAAGTTTAATAGATTTTTTGGAAACGGAACATGAATGTTTCAATACAATTAGCACAAATAAACTTCAACAAAACATAAATACCAATTTAGCCCAAAAGGGAAATTAGGTATCTACATTTAAAAACATCCACATAACAGAAAACAACAAAAGAATACAGACTACAACAACTAT